CCGAAGCAAAAATCAAAGCTGTTGTCTTTGGCTCTCTTATCCTCATGATTACAGCAGCGAAACGCTGGAACATGAAACACCGAAGATTAAACCAAATCCGAGAATACAAATAGAAGTCGTATATAAGTTGCTATAACCAATCAGTTTCACTAACACCTCATAACTCTTAACATAAGAGTAAATATTTTCGTTCATATATAAGTACAAAACTGAAGATATACACTACTACAAACCTTTGGGTTATACTCAGCATTGCGAGCTTGCAAAGCAATAGCTTTGAGGTCGAGCTTACAATCTAGGTTCACAGTTGAAACAATGTTCCTGAAACGAACAAACAAACAAAATCTTGTCATTCACAACAAAGCACAAACTCATAATCTAAAAAGCTACAAAAGAGACACAAAAGCTAAGTATGAGAAGTACAATTAGCATCATGTATATTTGATTGGAGGMTGTTSTTTTGAAGCGTTRTTCAATTTGTCAAGAACCAATATTCAAAGGAAACTCACATAGCATGATTAGGAAAATTCTGGAATATAATCGATACCATTGCCTCTTCAGCCATTTGATCATCGATGTTAACAGGACCTACATAAATATCCAAATAAGAAAACACAAACATTGAACTCTCAGAAATTGCAATATATATTCTCCAAAAATAGACTTACATCTGGATGCTTTTTATGAACTGCAAGCTCCACATACATACGTATCCAATCAGCGTCTACCAACTATGAGCACTTGCATTGCATGATTAAGAAAGCACAAAAATGATTACATTTTCTGTGGAACATACTAACACATATTACACACACTAACACATTTGAATGATAAACTATCGTAATTAAGATATTTGATAATTTCGTTCTATGTAAACAAAAACAAAACACATTACAAATAAATCCGAATATATACTTAGCAAATGAATAGGTCACGACATGGAGAAAGGAACAATACTCACCCTGAGTAATAGTCTCTGGGGATATAGACATCCCTCACAGGACCAAACCTCTCAAATGGAACACCTAAGATCAAGGCAGATCAAGATCAAGATACATACATAAAACAACTAAAGAGAGAAAGAGAGTTTACTTAAATAAAGTAATTGACCTGCTGGAAAATGATTGAGCTTGACTCCTTCAGAGGGCAAGTGATGATCCYTGGTCGTATCACCATGCGCACTGATCGAGACAGTACYGCGATGACCTGAAMTCACAAGGTTCGATATGATATTCTCCAAAGCAAGACCAGCATTGAAATGATCTAGAGCCATTTGGTCTTTAGTCACACAGAACTTGTTGAAACAAAATACACTGCCTACGAAATGGAATCCACATAGGACTTTAGAATCGAGCTTTTAGTTAATAAACAATCATCCAAACAGCATAAGAACATCAACACATAAGAAAAAGGATAGGCAAAGACCCAACAAATATATATCAGATTCAATCACTAGAACAAAGCTAAAGCATTCAACTTTTAGAAGCTATTTCCACAACTAACAATACCCACGAAAAAATCAAGCCAGTAAAACATCATCAGAGCAAAATTAACTTAATTCCATGAATCGAAAGAGCTAAGCTAAACTTGCTCAATTCACAATAAAATAACAACAACAAAAGCAATACTTACTCAAATCACGAGCAGATGCTCCGAAGATTAAATATGGATCAAACGAATAACTGTAGAGCTCCAGAATCCAAAGAGAGGTAGATAAGGAATTAACTCACTCGGGAAAGTAAATATCTGATTTG